TTTTTTTTTTTTTAAATAAAAATAAGTGAGCAGAAACCTTTCACTGTTCCATGGGCAAAGTGAGGATCATCGGGCGCACATTAACTTGCAAATTTTGCTTCAGTTCTGGAGCCCAAACGCTTATTTTTCTTCTTAACTGCTTTCAGTAACTCAAATAACCGTGGCATGCATAATAGTGGAAGATCGTTTTCGAGCACCTGAAAAAAATTATAAATTTTAAGGATCATAAAATTTTAAAAAAGAATCTTAGAGAAACTTGGATATAAGAATCATAGGAAGACGAGCACCAGTACCAATTTGCTACTGGAACGAGTCAAAAAAGGTGACTTCATCAGCAACAAATTTCGAATTACGATTTTTTCGGACAAATCTAACACGTAAATACTAATGCAACATCAAATAATTGGCAAACCGATGCATATTTCGCTTTTTTGTATAATATTTAGGCCAAATCAAACAGCTTTCAAACAAAATGAATTTTTCAAACCGTAAAAAAAACCAATTTCACGATACGATATACTCATTCATCAAAAAAAAAAAAACATATAAAAATCATGCAAATTTTTCACACCACAGGGGTGAAATCGATAATTTTCGGCTAACAGCACGTGCTAATCGAAGATAACCGAAGCAAGCCATCATATTATAAAAAATTCTGAAAAAAAAAAACAAAAACAAACAAACTTTTAAAAATTTCGGTGTATCTATGTAATTTTCATTATTTTCATCCAGTGCACAGCACATTTCACGTTCTAGCGTATCAGCCAAATCAGTGCTTTTCCTTGCTGCATGGCTTGTAAGTGCATAGAGTCGACGAACACCGGCGGTTCGTGATTTTAGACCAACAACAACAAATTTACCAATATCTTTTGTGCTCGAAACATGTCTAAAAATAAGCGAGGAAAATAATTCCAGAAACTGTCTGAAGTAAAAATCTAACATTAAAAAAAAAAAATAATGATAATACCAGTCAAGAGCCTCGTAAAAAAAAACTAAGGCAAACAACTAAGAATAGCTGCAAAATTCAAACAATTTGCATCGGGGACACACACGCACACACACACACATATACATACAAAAACATGTACACACAGACAACCCCGTGACAATATGCGCGTTGTGCAGTTGTTTCATTGCACAAAACGCATAAAAATTAACTAAAGAAAAAAGTAAACATACGTGCCACAGCACGGTTCAATGATATCTTGTCCCAATAAATCAGCACTTTTAATCGTAACAATCCGACAAAGACCAGATGAAGCCGTTTCCTGAAAAAATTTGAATATATTTAGCATGACAGAATAACTGGTGAAGAATTACAAAAAAAAAAAAAAAAAAAACTGCTCGATTTTTTTTTCAAAACCTAGATTTTCACCAACGTAAATTTTCGTATATAAACCGCTGGCGCACTGGAAAATTAACACAATCTGTCGTGCAGTAGGTCGAGAGTTCGACTCCGCCGTAGAATAACCAGTCGCTCCATGGCCCTTTTATTTTTCTCGGTGGCAAATAGGTACTACTATATGCCAGTCATAGGCGGGTCCAGGGAGAGAGGTGGGAGGAAGGGAGGGGGG